GCCATCTCGCGATCGCCCAGCCAGCTTTTGGCAAAGAGATTTATAGTCAAAGAGAATTTACGTAGCAAGGTTGCAGCAAGAAATACAAATGCGTAGTATCTCGGGACGAAAAAAAGCTCATATATTTTCATATATTTTTTTTGAAATTTTTTTTGCATCATCTTTTTGCATGATATTTCTGATGCTCTCAAATATGCAAGAGATAAAAATTTCCTAATACGAAATTAAAAATAGAAATTTCTGAATTTAGGTAACATCAAAAAGCTGCTACTTTATTTAAATTACTGTTTTAAGAAAAAGCGGGATAAAAAAAATGCAGGATTTAGATTATTCAAATCCCGCTACGGTGGCGAAATGGCGGTGTATTTCTTTTCACTCGCTTCTGATGCATTTCACTTTTAGAATATTATAAAATGTGGAAATGTACAAATGTAGGACGAAGCATCTCACAATAATTCCGTGGTTATTTCTACGTGACTACCAAATCATCATATCAACAATTAAAAATATAGGAACGTGGTAATGTGAAAAAAATCCTTTTTTTACTCGTTTATTTAACAAATACGAGCGCAACAACGGTAACAACGGGCGAATTACGCGTCTTTGATATCTCGAACCGAGACCCCCTTGTTCGAGAAACACATCTCATTCCGAGATCTAATTAGAGAACTCGCACGTGGGATTCCGTCACGTTTCGTCATTATCGCACCCTTTCACTCCCTTTCCCGATCAGTGCCTTCGGTCTCTCTGCTCGACTCGCGCGAATCGCAAGCGCGCGTATCGACTCGCATGCGAACGAGGGTCGCGTTGCCATAGCGCTGCTCGGGGAATCGATTTCACCTGTCGCTACTAACCCCGGACGAGACCGCTCGCGCTGTCGCGTGCTTTCAAAGCCGATCTTAATTTATCGAGCACGACCGAAAGAAGGGACCGTCTTATTCCGGCGCGCGATGGGAGGAAGGGCCGCGCGGGATTCGTTAAATTCAGTTTTATCGATGACCCGACGCGACGTTTAATTCCGCGTCGCCTCAACTTTCTTTCTCGATCGATCAGCTTTGATCATCTTTGGAATTACGTTTCTTCCTTTCAGAGATATCTCTCAATGGCGTCTCATGAATTTTAAAAATTCTTTCTAGTTCGTTTCTAATAATGTGTGAATGAAAAGTTATTTTATCTCTCACTTCATTTTAATAAAAATCGAAAATCGCGTCTTTTATGCACTGTTTGCATTATCCTATTTTGTTGTAAATTATTTATACAAAAACTTGAGATTTACATGTATACATGTATGCGATTATTAATAATAAAGTAATAAATAATTTTGCTAATGAATTATATAAATGTTGAATATTATTTATATTTTGTTCTTTTTTTAAAAAAATCGTTCGTAATGTTTCACTCTTTTTCGTTATTTTTACAATCTCATAGATACATAAAAGGTAAACAAGATTTTTTAAATAACATACATGTAAATGTAAAATTACATTTATTTTGTATAATAGGAAGTAAATATGCATTTATTGATCGTTCATTAATATCTAGTTATTTTAATGCATTTGTGTCCTATTTAATTATGATGAATGATAACTAGATTAACATAACATTCAGTATTAACTAAATTTGCTGTTACATTAATATATATGTACTACTAACTTTAATTACATGTAGATTATGGCAGGAGTATCAGTTTTCATAATTTAGGATTTTCCCTCCTCTAATTACCTCTCTCCAATATCTGACAGTATAATATTAAACATAGTATAATTTTAAACATTATACATATATATATTCATATATATATATTCATGTACAAGTGCAAGTTTTAAACATTTTATATATATATAATTACTATATATATAAAATGTTAATGTAATACATAAGCAGGTAAAATCTCACAAATAGCGATAATACAGCGAAATGTGGAAATGTGGGACCCTGGATTTTAAAATTATATCATGCAAAAATTGAATTACATATTTAATTATATATTTAATTATTTAGCAACGTTCCATTCTTTTTCACGTACAAGCAAATTTTAAACACTTGTACGTGAAAAAGAA